CCCAAAATTGCGTACTGCATCCTTGAACTTGTAGACAGTTACAATATACGTCTCAACATAAAAAAATATAAGTATATTTAAAAATATACCGTCAGTTCTTGTCACAAATAAATACACGGAAACAAGGTGTCACCTTGAAATATTAGTTACAAATTAAATATACATAAATACTGATGTTTTTCCTTGCATCTTCATCTGCAGGATGTTTGGCGCCGTCTCTGTATTAGATCAGCCCCAATGGCGCTAATGCTGCACCATTAACACGTCAGTGCGGATTAGATGTCGCTGAATATCATTTTACGATATTTATAAGACATCTCTGGAGAAAGTCCTAGCAGGAACCATATAACTAGTCAGAGCAGATTGTATACCAGAGAATATCATCTTACGATGTTTATTAGACATATCTGAGGAGAGGTCTGGGGCCCGTTCCACAAAGCGATCTTACCACTACGACGATCGTAACTACCATACTTTAACATAGACTCACGACTGTAGTGCTTAAATCACATACAATTATGTAATGAGTGTAGCGGTGGAATTTTCTCTAAAATTCATTTCTTCACCGATATAGGTTGATCATAACGTATAAAAACAATATACGATTGCAAAAGTCCAGATTTTGATTTTTAAAAATTATTGTCCAAACAGTGATTCGAACCCCTGTGGCTAAAATACCTTTGTGGAACCACTCTGGTCTTAAACGTTGGACTTAAAGTCGTACTACTTACTTACGCCTAAACGTACGAAGGTGGTAGCGTTAAGTGGGTGTGCTTCCACGTGTGGGTAGCTTGATTGATTTTTTGGGTCTCCATTTGGGAAAAACATCGCCATATCCACGGCTAATTTAGGCATATACCACGTATGCACTGACTGACATGTTATAAATCTTCATAACAACACATATACGAAACTATTCTGGCAACTGGCGTCGTTCCTGCTGTGTAAATGTATTCTCAACAACGGTTCTTCTTGCGATTTCCCCAATACCTCGTACTGGGACATTTGGGGACCAAACATTACACGAATGCAACTCTTATGCCGATAATCTCTCCGTCGCTTTTGGAAAACGTAGTATGATGACAAACTTTGTTCTAATTACTAATCTTTCAGAACCAGTTTCTGTCCAGTTGCACCCTCCTTCATCCATCAGGCTCTCAAGATTTTCAACCGGATTTCCATGTCTTTGCACAACATACATATAAATGAAGTGGTAAACTTGATAATGACGTACGTGGTGGTGAGTATCAGTCTGTATCAACAACAGGGAGTATACCGCGACGATATCAGATATCTTGTTAACCACAACGTGCGACAGTTGATGTGTTTCACACATAAGACAAACTAATACGGTCATACATTGTGTTTATGGCGGAACACTTCAGTGTTCATGCAATGTTCACCACTGTTGTGCCGTTTAAGCACATGTTTTCGTGGCTATACATGTGGCTATGTATACATACTATACATGTATAAGCATACTATACATGTATGAGCAAAACAAACAATGTTGTTACTACTCTAAAAAGTACACTGAATATTGATAATATAAACTACGCTTATAACGAACTCAAAAGAACCACTTATTTTCGTTCGACATAACCGTAGTTCGTCGATTTTACTGAATTTTACTGAAATATAAAGCAAAATGCCCGGGACCCGATATATCAGTCAGTTAAGTTCCTGTTCGTTTTAAACGTAGTTTCATTATTAAGACAAAAAGCCTGAATAACCTTAATGTAGCTTCTCATCTTTCAAGGAAGTACCTTCCAAGGTGCGTCAGAAACATATACAAGAGTCAGCGCTGAGGCAGTTAGCTAGTAATTTGTACAGGATATCGATAAACATGTTATTTATACAGAAAACTGATCTCTGAAATAATGATTTACTGTCACTCTGTCATCATGACCTGCCCGGTGAAATACATCTTTGATACTTTCAGTGTATAATGCCCATGTAGGCTCGTTCTTGATTAAATGAGAAATGGAGTTAAAGTGACACGCGTTGTGCAGGCACAGTTCAATTTGACTTTAAATGAGCACTGAGGCGATCGCAGTGATGTATCTTAATGACTTAATAAACACATAATTCTAACCCTGTCATGAACGCAGGTTTGTTGTTCCAATACCCCTGAGATAAGGTGCGTGTTCCAATCATACCAGTAACAAATTAAGCAGTGTCAGAGAGGTTCATCACAGGACGTGGCTGTTCTGTGGATGCCGAGAAAATGACCTTGTGACGTGGATGAATGATTATCATACATTAGTCACCCAACGAGGGATAATAAGAACTATTGAACCCTCGATTACGTAACACTCTCAGACAGACACATATTTCTATTTTGTCTCACTTGTTTATGCAACCAATCGCTCAGCGATTTATGGGAGACACTTCTGCATAAAAACTAAAGACATATATAATATATAAGATATAATATATATATATACATGTACACGTTAGTTGTATAAAAAATCACGACGTATATGAAGAATCTTATTGCAGGCCTTGGCACTGTTAAAGGTTAGGACCGGGTTGCTAAGTAAAGCATAAAACTGTTCCTGTGGAGATAAAAATTCAAAACCCTCTGACTTGCTACAACACGGCAAAAATAGTTCAGTCCTAACGGTGTCGTATAAAGGACAGGAAAGTAAAACGTGCTTTTTCATCTTCTTTAATGTTAACACAATTAAAACAGTATCTATGGTTAAAATGCTGGCATAGGCAGATCAGTCGTATGAAGCTTTGTTGAGTTGCACGCCTTAGTCTTTGCAGGATCCGCAGGCGTTGAGCGTTGGTTGAAATCGGACTGATAATTATTGTTTTCTTGCTCAGTACCATAAATGTGTTCTGTGGTTTCATGAAAGCTCTCAAGTTAATGCTTTAATGAGATGGCTTTCTGGGTTTTATAAGGTTTAACATTACATTGACATGTATCTTGATGGCATGCACATCCGGTTAACAATTTTAGTGAGTGGTGAATGATTTGGGTTTAACACGGCTTTGAAGGCTTTTCCAGTTTATGTCACGGGTTTGTAAGTGTTGAGAGCTTGCGCCATAAACATACTGGCGTGTCTATCGACACCTCGTAGAACTTGACTCACTCATTCATTTATCATAATCGGTATATCATAATGACCTGCCAATTTCTATACGACTGGGAATGGCCATGAACCGAGTGACAGGATGAAGTACTGGGTGTCAGGATTCACTCACCGTTGGTCGTAGATGGAATCCCAGATTTATCCTGATTTATGCTATTCTGTAGGCAAAACAACGGTGGTCGTTCTCTTGTGTTACTGGTGACCCGTGAAGATCCGGTAAGAATTGATCTTTAGTAACCCATGCTTGTCGTAAGAGGTGATTGGATGGTCAACTTCTAAATGCCTCTCAAAGAAGTTACGCCACCATATAGCTGGAATACTGATGAGTGCGGAGTAACACTTAACTCACTCACTCTGTTATTTGGTCTACGAATTCGTAACATATGGATGTCTTCACGTCATATGAGTTTAGGAGCTAATGGGTGAGTGAGTAAGTGAGTTGGGTTTTACGTCTCTGTTAGCAATAGTCCAGCAATACCCCGGCCAAAAATTGGCTTCCCACATTGTACCAATGTGCGGGATCCCCAGACCTTCGGCGTGACAAGCGAACGCTTTAACACTCACTTTAAATAACGTACAAGTGGTAGTTAATAAATAATCATTTATAGGAAGACGTTTCAACACTCAATGTTTACTTTCGAGGTAAAGGAAATAAAAACATTTTTTTCAATGCTGACTGTTATGAATGATCAGTGTAGGATCACATCATACCAAGGAAAAAGTGTAAAAATACTGACACCCTGAATATGATATTTGCAAGTGAATCCAACTTCACTATGATTTAAGAAGCTGCTCGATCCATTTTTCCCCAAAACTGAAATGACGAGTGAAACTATCATGGTGGTGTTCTCAATGGACTGCACATCCCCTGAGATAAATACTTTTTATGAAAGGAAATTGTGCAGACGCATCAATAATAAAAATATAAAAACGTCCAAAGACTCCAGTTTCGATTACCTTTCAAAACAGTGTCCACTGGACGCAAAAGGTAAACAGTACGGGAAAGTATATGAATAAATTGTCAAATATCAGCGATGTCCCCTCCAATTTAAGGAATTATGTTTTGTTATCTGACTTCGAAGTCTCAAGCTGTTCCCTAATTGTATTTTCCAACTACTCATTGAGTACTATATATATCCTTGACGATGGCCAAGCTCCGAGGAATTGCAAGTAAAGACTGACTAGATATCAACGAAAGTCAATAACCTTTAAAAAACCCATTTCTATCCTTTCATATGTTGCACAAAGAACCATTTATCAAAGTTCAAATCAATTTCAGTAAGACCTTTACTGGCCCCATACCGCATTAAAAAAATCTTCACGACTTCGAATGTGTTCTTTCAGATCTGTTGACCTTGTCCATTATCTAAATAAAGCTTACTAAGTGAAAATCGGTCTTCTTCTTGGGTAATTGAAGCCTGTGAACACGGACTCCATGATGGGATGGTCACAATGAGGTGCCCCCTTCAGCCATGTTACGTCATATGACGCTATCGCTCTGACTGGCACCTTGTGTTGCCTTAACACCACATATATGACTTCAAGGAGTGTCCTCAGCTCTGTTATTTATTCGAAGAGGGATCTCCTTACAAAGATGCTTGTCTCAAGTTACGGCTTATGCCTCTGAAAGGTCCTTCTTCAACATCACTCAATACCCATATCAATAGATTAAATGCTTGATATATTCATGCCGTACTTGATATATCCACAACTTTGGAAGAATCCATCTACGCGTGCAGGCTCTGGATGGGCACCGTATACCTCTGTTTCAGCATATAATCCAGCCAAGCTGATTTAATCGATCCGTCTGCAATGAAACGTCCATTGTTAGGTCTTCACTATGTAGTCGAATTCTGTCACTAGTAAATTTGCATTAATTGGGCAAAGACAACAGAAATGCTGTATAAGATCAACAGCCCCTGTTTAGCTGGTATGGACTTCGTGTGGGAGGTGTAATGATCAATAAGTCGGGCTCGACTGCTCCCTGCGCGGCGCGCTGTCGTTCTGTCGTCTGCTCGTGGTGTCACAATGGAACCTTCCCGTTTCTAATGATTCTTTCAAGCCTTCCTTGACAGGAGAATTACCTGCAAGAATCGCGGCTAAGCAATAGGTTGCAGTAACATACGTACGGCGGTCTGCAGATTCCAAAACTCACCTGGAATAAATTTAGCTCACCTGTTGATTTCTAGCCAGGTGTTGAAGCTCAGGTGATCAGATTTGGCAATCTTGAGACAATTATTTTCGCCAAATACATTTGAAGCTTCTGCAATCTCACTTTTGATGATTCAGTAAGAAATTTGACAAACGGTGCTGCGCATATTGGCCATAAAACTGGAACATATTGGAAGATTCCATTCACCGTCAGCGAGTGATATCCTATCCATGACTATGAGAGCGGTGTGCTTCTTGTGATTAGGACCTTGGTGACTAGGGAACATTCTCCATCCGTAAGAGCATTTGTCATCGAGTTATGGGATTTCTTTCCTAGTGATTCTTGGATTTCCCGCAAACATGAGTATGTCAGCTGCAGGTGAGTTATGTTGATAACATCTTCTTCCAATATCTTTATATTATGAATATTTATTCACAAGAATGGGAATTTACAATTGTCACGTTTATTAAATGCATCCCATTGCTATTGTGATGAACATATGCAACAATATATTTTGGAAAGTTGCATATCTTCAGCTGATATCAGACATATATTTAAGATGAATTTCAGATGTGAAATCATATAAAGCATCTTTATCAAAGACCTTAAAGGCGCGAGTTGATATCACCTTCAGGTGCGAGTGATCCAATCAGATGGCTTAATAAGTTATGGCAGATAATGCATTTTAGCCAAGATGTACAGAACGAACAAACACCTCATGATCGATGAATTAAAACATGCATGCGTATTTCAAGCGTGTATCGGTTTACCTAAAAACCGGCGTTATCGAATCTGTACATCAAATGACTTAGATCTTGAAATTAATGGACCTGTTATGGCATGAAGGCGCTGACGCTAGATTGACAGAGCATTAGAAGTGTATTTGTTGGTTATTGATTGTCAATATAAGGCGAGGCTCATCCGTATTACAAGCAAGTAAAATTTCACTAATGCGCATTATTAAGCCAGTATGGCCGTTCCATTGAACGTGCGAAAGGTCGTTGAATATGTTGTTATTTTTGAAAACATATCTTAACAATGTCGTCATCTGTATAATTATTGTTTTCTAGTTCATATTGTAGTCAATGTAAAGAAACTTAAACACCTGAAAGATTTGTTATCGTGTAATAAAATTCTTGGTGCAGTTTTTCTCGACCATACATTTGCATTGCGTTTCAAACGGGGTATTATATACACATATTAATTGGGATGAAGAAGTTTACATTATAAAATATGTATGGCATGTTTGCTAATTGAAATTGTCTGCAGATCGACAGACAGACAGAAAATGGTAGATCATACTGGCTGTTCTGTATAATCTTGGATTTATAAGAAAGAAAACAAACATCTATCACAGTGAGTTAGTGTACGAGTACAATATATAATTCAGGCAAATATTTTGCTTCAGAATGAAGGTGTGTTTTTGTTTGTTGACAAACCAGTGGTGAATATGTTTGAAACTCAACCATTGAGGGAATCAACACTGGACAAATGCCATGGCGTGAAGCACATTTGTTCATATGCTGCACGTGATCGGGTTGTCAACAATGACTATGATTCTTAATTAACCAAAATAAACAATCAAGTTAGTCGACTCGTCAAATATCCTGTGCGTGCAACGTCATGTCAGAGTGTCCACAGTCTACTTTTATTGTTGATATGTCTAATGCAGGAAACCATTCTTGGTCATTAAAATCTGTTTAAATGCAGGTTTCATGATAACAGGTGTTAGAGAACGAGAAGATCGTCCATTCTCACACAGGGTCGAGGACATCTGATAATACTCCTGAAAAAGTACTTAGATATGCTTGTTTTAACTGGTGTGTTTTTAGCTGCCCTTTGATGGCAATCTCACAATTTATTTGTCGCATGTGAAACATGTATTACGGCTGAAGTTCAAGTAAATAAAAATATGAAAGAGCGACAACACAGATGATTACAGGCTTGTTATCGCTTGTGATTACGATCATCAACAGCGTCTCTATCTTAGTCTCGTGGTGTCATCTTGTGTACATCATAATATATCTTAGTTAATGTCCATCCGTCGCCACGTGTCTTTACCTCACCCGTCCAGGTGTATTTACCTCACCTGTCCACGTGTATTTACCTCACCTGTCCACGTGTATTTACCTCACCCGTCCACGTGCATTTACCTCACCCGTCCACGTGTATTTACCTCACCTGTCCACATGTATTTACCTCACCTGTCCACGTGTATTTACCTCACCTGTCCAGGTACCGGTGTATTTACCTCACCTGTCCACGTGTATTTACCTCACCTGTCCACGTGTCTTTACCTCACCTGTCTTTACCTCACCCGTCCAGGTGTATTTACCTCACCTGTCCACATGTATTTACCTCACCTGTCCACGTGTATTTACCTCACCTGTCCACGTGTATTTACCTCACCCGTCCAAGTGTATCTACCTCACCTGTCAAGCGACAGATTATGCAGGCTTCCAAGCCTTTAAACGTAACTAAATCCCAGAGGCCAATTACACATTTTGGAATGGTAGCTTGGCCTGCCCTGACAATTGCTTCAGAGCTGTCTGGTGGTAAGGGTCTTCTCGCTGGAGACCTGTTTCAAACCATTACACATTGTCACAGCCTAGATGCCAGTAGCCCTGGAGACTCTTTATGATGTCCGATTGATATTTCCCTTCTTATACACACTCAGCTGTCTCTGGTAGTCTTTGTTGTGTACTGTCGAGTTCTGCTTAGCTGCTACAGAAGAAATTGTGTTTATCTTCTCAGCGAAGTTTAGAGAAGGTGTTTGCTTTGTAGACAATGGATATAAAAACACGATAAGTCCATTACTTTGTTTCCATGGATACATTTCCAATTAGATGGAGGACATGTCCCCCTATGAGTGATACCAATTATTCTATACAATGATACAGAAATCAATGTAATTGAAAACGTGGTTCGTGTCCTTGGCTTAAGACTGGAGGCATCCCTTCATATTATCTGGTATTAGAGGATCTCACCTACACATTCTCAAAACTCGAAACGAGGCGTGTATGCTTGGTTGGTTTAAGACCTGTCCTCAGATGACTAGATAACGACCATGCACAAAACCATAGAGTTGTTACTTGAAGACAATGCACCCAAAACTGCATGAACAATTAGGATAACGACCGTCCTACATTCATAAAGATTAGTGTGACGTTTTGCGTGACTTATTCCGTTTATGGCACTGGTTTTACAATGGGCCAGTGAATGTGTCTTTCTTGGTGCATATTACCTGCTCTGAGCAAATGGCGTCCAAACATCCCCTGTAAATGTCAGTGAATATGAACACATGAACACATGAACACATGATTGACAACTCATATGATCTTAGACATCATGGTCATCGTGGACTTTAAGAATCAGTTCGAATCTAGTCGATTACAGTCGCTCGAGAATGACATTGGAGAGAGGCCAACACCAATGAACAAAGAAACAAGCTTTCAGTGTGTATCTTTGACCCCTTTCTTCAATGGTTATCGTTGTAAATGGAATGAGTTACGAAAATGTCAATGACCATGATATTCAGACTATAATGTCATTTCTGGCCAGTTACAAGCGGAAGAGGTTTCTTCATACCGGAAGCAGAGTTTCGCTGATGCCGTATGTCAACAGCCGATCACCATTAGCTGGGCACGTTGCATGCAGTTAATGACTCACGTGGTGTGGGGGTTTATGTCATAGGATGCAGATATTGCTTGAGGCCCCTTTCGGGGAACCATACGCTTTGAGGTCAGATAGTACAAGCCAATGTCCTTCAAGCACTCAGCGTTGACCACAGTTTTGTAACATATTGTTTGCGATTCATTTAAATAAAAAGTATAGTTAGTGTGTAAAAATAAAACTGAAAACATTAAATGTATGTTTCTTTTTATGTGACATCACAATTTGTGGGCTGGACGGTTTGCAGATTAACGTCGCATGTGTCTACACTGTTCGCAATGCTAGCTGCTTTTACTTATCCCACAGTCGAAAATCGTTTTGTAGTTGTCACATATTATATGTAATGTGTGTATTGTTGGTGGGTATTGGTTTAGGTCAGTCGTTCTGGTGAACACTCGATGACGTACAGACCGCCGTCACATATTGCTGAGTGCTACGTTAGACAACAAACAGTCTGTAAGGAAACATTATAGAGCGGGATGCGTTGTAGTTGAACGTCATAACTGAACATAGTATGGAGTTAGGTAGTGACTGAAAGCATGAGAGTAAGTGAATGTGTTTAGGTTTCTTAGCAATATTCCAGCAATACCAGCAATATCACAAATTGTACCCATGTGGGTAACCGAACCCGTTCTGTCGACGTGATGAGCAACGCTTTAACCACTGGGCTACCCACAGTTCAAACTTAAAAGAAAGAGGACTTGCTGTATTTAATGATAGCTCACGGGAAGGTTTATACATTTGACCTTCTAAGGTAAATAATTTCATCCTCATTGTATATCAATACTTGAACTGGAGATCTATACTGTTATTCGTCTCAGGTAAATACTTTAATCATCAAAGGTGTATATAACTATTGGAGTTGCATTTTATATAGTAATCCTTCTAAGTAAAATACTTTCATCATTGACCCGTGAAGATCCGGGTTAAATTTGGTCTTCAACAACGCGTGTTTGTTGTAAGAGGTGACGAACTGTGCTCAGGTTCGTGGTCATGGTTACACATGACATCATATCCCAATTGCGTAGATCATGCTCGTGATGTTGATCACTGGCCCGTCTGGCCCAGACTCGATTAGTTACAGACTGCCGCAATATAGCTGGAATACGACGTTAAACAACAACCAACCAACCAACCGACCGACCGACCGACCAACCAACCAACCATCCAACCGACCGACCAACCAACCAACCAACCAGCCAGCCAACTTTCATCATTAATGGTGCATATTTATGTCATTTAAGTTGGAGGTTTGTACAGTTATCCAACTTACATCATTAATGGTCAGGCACGCTTTCGAGCTGCTAATATAAACCAATCTCTCTTTGACAAGACACATCAAAGAACATTGATTGACAGCAGTATGCATAGAATGTGTTGTTTTTTATTATCCCCATAAAACACATCGTGTTTTCTTGAACTCATAAACACATCTCGTTAAATTTTCTTAACGGTTTTTAAGTAAGCGAAAGCATTTTATCACTCGTACCAATCATACGCCTTTCAAAAGATGTCTTTAGCGATGGAGTAGTTGTACACAAGACCCCTCACGTATAAGAATGTGAGTTTCCTCAAGATGAGCCTTTTAAACAGCTGTTTCCGTATGTATGGAGAAACCTAGCACAGTATAATTGGACCCCAGAGCACCCAAGAGTTTTTTTCTCCATCATTAGTTTTCCCAAGACGAGATGGTTTCATAAAAAGTT